TGTGTTTTAAGAAGGACAAGAGCAAAGCACTGCACTTTAGGCAGAGATGTCATCTGCCCAAATGTGAAACGGGTAATGACTAGTCCTCCAGGGCCTGAATATGTTAGGAAAAAACAAAGTTTCACCCTGATATATCTATGTGGAACTGTCCTCTACAGGACGCACCAAGCAATCATAATTCCACAATACTTAACAATAACAGAACCTTGGCTGGCCAGAAAAGCAAGAACTATGTGCAGAGTTTGGAAAAGCCTGCTTTATTCTAGTCAGAGAAGATGAGGAAGATGTAAAATCTCACTGCAAAGAGGAAGCAGGGAAGACACTCACTTCTGTGGCCATGGTCAGATGACAAGGAACAACGAGGGAACAACTGTTCAGGAAATTGCAAGGGGAGGGAGCAGTGTCAGCAGCGGATTAGCTATAGTGGAATCCTCAGGGTCCCTGTCAGACCAGTTTCAATCGACATTTCTCTGCATATGGAAGGATACAAGAGCCACATTGGAGGTTTGGTTTAGCAGGTACAATTACACTGCCAGTATCTCTGGTGTCATCATTTTGTTTCATCTTTGAGGTACAGGGAAGTGCTAAATGATTAATGTATTGCCTTGACCGGACTTGTTGCACACACTGTGACCATATTTAGTCAAAATTCCAAACAAGCAATTACCTTTGCTAGCAATAATAGGCACATACTGAACAAGTAAGATTTAACTGATAACAATATGTTAATTATTTAAGCAAATCATGTCATTCAAATGGATACTTCTTTTCAACACTGATATAATACAGAGGTCTGGGCCTGGAAGTAAGTCTGTACCCTAGCAATGAGCACAGAGAGAGCTGGATCAGTTGGCTCTGTGTACAGAGGAGAGAGCAAAGGGCCTGACTTCACTCAATGCTACTGCAAGCCTGGACAGTCCCTTACCACTCCCCTGTTGTCTACACATTCCCATGAAATGAAAGTGAAATATGAGCATTTTTTCTTCATTTACCTGCACACTGGTTTTGGAGCTGGCCCAGCTCCCGAGGGATTGCACTCCTGGAAGATGTAGTTACACAGCAGAGACTCAGCGGCTGGTTGGCAGAATGAACTCACCATTTTCAGTTCAGTCCAGGCAGTGTGCACAAGCAGCTCTTGGGTCTCCTCTGGGTCAGCATAGGAGGAGTTGAAGAAAACAAGAGCATTCTTCGCCAAGATAGCACTACACACCTCACCTCTGTACATGCTGCAGTAACCTGCATCACCCTTGTATAGCTTGCTGTTAATGACAAGAGCATACACAAACACAGTAAGCTCATAGCCCTAAACACCTGCAGGAGCACAATGCTTAGGCACTGTTTCTGAATAAAGTGGCATGTGTAAGGCTAACAGAGGGTGGAGGAGATGGTAAGTGGTTATAACCACTAAAACCAGTTAATACCAATCAAAAAAGGAACTTCTGCAAGGTATCTTGGTGTGAGCCTTGGTGAGATTCAGGGATGAGGCTCTGGCCAAGTGCTGTTAACATTGTAAGTGGGGAAAAAGTCTGAGCAATCACACACAACCATGACCTAGCATGGCCCCTCACCCTGCACTTAGGCCCTAGTGGGAAAAACTTTATTTTCCTGTTTCCCTGCAGTAGGGATCAGCCATGATGTGTTTAGGTGGGAGACACAGGGCATACAAAGACACAAGTCTCTGCAGTTTTCTTTCTGGTACTTCCTTGCAAGGTCCATCTTCACCTCTCTTCACCATATCTCCTGCTTTGCAAAATCCTGACACGTAGTATGGGGACAGAGCTGTGCAGGAGCAATAAAAAGCACAGTAAGGTCAACTCCTTTTTGGGCCTTCTTTTATTTATCTTTCCCATGTTTTTCACATCTGTGGCCATCAAAAGGAAGCAGCAAGACAAGGGCAATGCACAGGTCAGCCATGCTCCCCAGTGGCTGCCACAGTCACCTAACAGCAGCAAGGCTTGTGGGTGAGGATGTGCCCTCTTCTCAGGCAGTCCATGGAGTGCAGTGTCCTTTGCACAGGAGGCAAACCTGGGAAAAGATCTTTCCTGTCTGCAGGGGATGGCCAAACCAGGGAGGGAGAGCGGCTGGGTGCAGCTGTCCCCACCGCTCCTTCTGTCAGTGTAACTGGGGTCAGGGAGTTCAATTCACAACATGCCAACCATTTGGAGCAGTCAGCAGAGCTATTTGCATCTTTGCCTTTTATTTCTTTCCCCTCTCCAAATAATCACCTATTGTTGACTCTGGGGGTTCTTTCTATTTTTTCTTCAGAAAGCTAGTGGTGCATGGACAGGGAATTATACAGGATACTCACATTTATTCTTTTCAGATGCTACTCTCTGCAGATTATATTCCCCAGCCCTGTTTTAGCTGCTCTACTTTGGGTTCCATGCAAATTTTATTTTCAATTATGAATTTTTCTACATGTTGCATTGGCTAAAAGACACAGAAAGGCTCTGATCCCTTGAGGTAATACCAAAATGACAGTGATGCTGTGATATCCTTCATCATCCCAGGCTCTAATGGACATGCCTTCATGTGACACAGGTGTCCCCCAGCATGTGGCACCAGTCTCACAGCCCATGACATCTTCCTGGCAGACAGACGGAAGGGCCAAGCTTTTGGTCACTGTTCCCATGCCTGTCACACCTGCATGAGTGCAGGTGTAAGGCATAAGTCTGCCATTGTAATTGGGTGGTCACTTACAAATCATTTACAAACTTCCTGAATCAGTCTTGCAAGCCCCTGTGAGGGAGGCAATGGCCTTTGCAGGGAGCCTGTGTCAGCAGAGTGGCAAAGCTATTTGCTCAAACTTGTTCAAGCTCTGAGGGCCAGTAGCTTGCAGCATACCTCCCAGGTTAACCCTTTCATTTTCCTTCCAGACTGATCTGCCAGTGTGGCATGTAGGAATATGCTAGAATTCTAAAAAGAAAAAGGCAGCTAAATTATTCAGCACTCCTAAAATTACTGTTCAGAAGTGCATGTCTCATCCTATATACATGGCTTTACCAATCCATATCACTGTTTGAAACAGATCTAAACTTCTCTTGCCCTAACCTAGTGATCATTGAACCAAATTACTTTTATTGACTGTGTACTGTCAGAAGTTTAACTTGCAGTTAAGCTTTGTCATGTGAATTTACAAGGTCAAGTGAAGATGTGGATCTGTAACTGTGAACATAATTTCCTCCAGAACATTCTGCCCACTACCATATTCCAAACACCCTTACCACTGTGTGATCCACTGCTTGCATGGTACAAAATCATCATTATCTATCCAAGCTCAGCCTCCAATTATGCCTCAATAAAGGAGTTCCGTGTTCCCTTCAGGTGAACCTCATCTGCATGACTGGCATTCAAAAACATTCTCCCTTCTTTTAACTCAAATTAACCAAACCCCCAAGGTTTATCATTCTTCTCCTCCCTGGACCAGAGAAAACCTCCACAAAGCCACAGAAAGTCATTCTTACCTCCACTCTGCCAAGAGACACCAAATCCAGGAATTGTGATGGGCCAAGAGAAAGAAAAAATGGAAAAGACATCAATGATACTTCATTGTCCCCTCTGAGATGTGGAAGTTAAGACTTCCATGCTAGGAAAGCTGTCTGAGAACTGTAAGCTGTCTGAAAAAGAATGCAGCTAAATTCTGTCCTTTTTTTGGTACCTTTTTGTTGAGAAGAAATGTTGGGCAACATGGGATGCTGTAAAGTGAGAGGGAATGAGGAGGAGGAAGTGGACTGTTGACTGCAGTGCTTGCTGAAGTGGACTGTTGCACCCTAAACCCACACTTTTACCCTAATCCTTTGGGTCCTACATGACCAGCAGATACAATCTGCTGTTTAAGCCACCTGTGTACCCATTACTGCAGTCAACAGCTGTAACAGGTAAGAGAAAGCAGAGCTGGACATGCAGTACAGGCACAAGGCCATGCCCCCTGCTTGAAGTGCCACAGAGTGCTGGGCTGAAACAGCACAGGGAGAAAGCACTGAGCATCAGCTAAGGGCAAGGACACCTCTGCCCTGGGACCCTTATGAGCTGGGACAAGGACAGGGCAGGGTCCTGCTCAGGTCTAGGGGGTTGTACCCCTCCTGCTGAGTACACACATCCTGGAGGAGAGCAGTGCAACTTCTCCCACCAGCCCAAAGCACCTGCCCTCCCCACTGCATTTGTAGCTCTGCTTTGTGGGACAGAGACTTGCCTGGACTAAAAGCAGAAGTGGGGATGTGAAATACAGCACCAAGTGTTCAGTCTCTCACAGGAGAGAGCTTGCTGCTAGGTTTCAGTGCCCAGTGTAAGAAAGGGCATGGTTATCTTCTCAACAAAGCAGAGAGAGGAACAGGTGTGTGCCTGTTTAACAGCAGGACAAAGGCTACCACCTCATGTCCTGTATGATTTCTCTTTCCTCTAACTAAACCCACCTGTGTGTTCAAAGAGGGAAGGCACAAGCTGCCACCTTTCTCTTTGTGTGTCAAATGCTGTTAGCTAGCTCAGACCATCGATATTTCTCCTCTTTGGATCATCCTTTTCACATCTGGGAGATGTCCCTGCGAGCAGAGATTACTCCAAGCACAGCGGTATACTAC